TTAATTTGAAATACCTACATGTGAAAATTACAGACCTTTTGCGGGTAGTAGTATAAACAAATAATAGCATGTTTTGTACGTGGTATTTGGCATAAATACCACTCTTGATATTTCAAAATTGTCACAAATTTCACTCGCCTAACGGCTCCTGAAATAACGTATAACAAATTCGAAATATCACTCGTGGTATTTATGCCAAATATCACTGGCTACAAATCATTCTATTACCTATACTGATCATGAGAAATAGTAGACTACGAGTAGTCCCCCATTTTTCCTCACACGCGGCGTGTCGCCTTTTCTCGCGTGGGGTAATTTTCACGCGCGCTCGCGTTTCGCTCGCTCTACTATCCCTGAGGAAAAATGGGGGACTACTCGTAGTCTAGAGAAATAGGGAATCCAATGTCTTTGAACTTGGGGTGGAACAAACAGTCTCTGGCAGTCTTTCTAGTAGTGGTAATAAATTAATAGCGCAAAGCGCTCGCGAGTGGAGCCCCATAACTAAGAAAATTTGGCAATCTATCCATCCGAGAAATGTTGGTAATCACGTGACTGTCCCTCCGTCCGTCTGCATCACAGGGAAACCAATGTGCAATGTCAAACTTTCTAGCTAATGTGGGAGCCTGTAGCCTGTGTTCAGCTTGATAATAGACATCCATATTATGACCAATTGACAGATGTCAAAACAGGGTATCCGCTGACCAAAGCCACATGACCGTATTGCGGGCTCAGGTGCCAACTCATCGAGGTCACGTTATTTTTTGAAGTTTTCCACTGACCAGTAGTTAGCTTTTAATTGATAACAGGCTTAAGTGTATGTTTTTCAGTCATATCGTTCTTCCCTAAAGTTAAGTATACATTTGTGGATTCCTTCGCAATGGTTGAAATTTTATTGTCTGAAGCAAATTTAAAAAGCATAAACTGGAGCTTCGCTTTGAGCTCTGGCTAAGTCTACATATTATGGGCGAAAAAGAGATTGAGGCGTGTCTCTTTCGCGCCCCGTTGTCTCCTGGCGCCCTTATCATTACTTTTAAGCACCTGCTTCGGAGGCGTGCCACAGGCTTTTATCAGAAAAAACAAAACAGACTGAGAGATATATAGACATACACCGAGATGCTTTTATTTAGCACCTATCGACAGAGCTACATAAATATAGGGAGCTTTAGCAAAAATGGTGGCGACAGCAACAAAAACTTCATAAAAGCAATAGGTATAAATAATCCAAATCAATACCCTTGCCATTTTGTGTACATTTCTCTGCAGTTTCTACACGGCTACACTTTAAATTCCCTTATGTAACGTTTTAGCAAGTAGGATCGAGAACGAACGACGAATTTCCCTTACGGCTCCGGCCTTTTTAACTCGGGTCTGGTCCCTAATAATTCAGTTCCAGGTAATTCAGGCTACATTCAACTATTTAAACGAGTGGGCTAATCGCGACAAAGTTTTGAAAAACGCGAATTCTTCTTTAACAGGCGCTCATGGGTTTCTTTTTTAATTAATAGTGACGTTTTCGCTGCTGTCGCGGTCGTCTTTGCTATACGCTCCCAATTAATTTCCAGGGAAGCAGTCTGAGACTATATATAGACGGCAGACTTGCAGACCTGCGGTATGTATAAAGCTAATGAAGGCTTGGTTTGAATTTTCTAAGTTAACAACCTGGTATAAGACGTCTAAATGTTTATCCCACTAATGAAAAATGATTGTTCTGGGAAGATTGCAAGTCTGCAATTCGCCATTGTCACACACAACGTCAAGAAAGCATTGTGAATTTTGTAACTCGTAAAAGTCGGAGTAAAATGACGACAACTATCACGTTTTCCCTCCAAAATGATGTCTGTTCACGCTCGGACTAAGAGAGTGCTTAGTATTGAGAAAATCTTGTACTCTTAGTACGGTCCTCGTCTTAAATCTAAAGGCCTCTGTTATCAAAGTAACCGCACTACTTCATTACAAACTAATACATGCCAAAATGGGGGGAAAAAAAAAGAAAGAAGAAACAGTTTTACTCACTAGTCTGCCCAATGATCATAGACTTGCTTGCATGATTTCGGAACTAAACAGAGAAGAATATGAACTCGATTCAAAGTCGCTGGGGTACTGCAGGGGGACATGTTAGCTCCCGATCCTGTTCATCATAGCATTAGACTTCGCCATGAGATCCGCAATTAAGACCGCTAGGAACACCTTTTACACTGACTGAGAAAAGTAGCCGTCGCTTTCCTGGGCTGACACTGACTTTGCCTACGATATTGTATTGATTTCAGATAAAAAAACTTGCACTGAAAATTTAAAGGATCTGTTTCAGTCCCAAAATGTCGATTCAGCCCTGTAGGCCAAAGTCTGATTCAGCCCCTCCTGAAGCCATTTGAGCGACAATTTAAGCCCAAAACGTTCAATCAAAGGGCTATTCCAGCCCACGCTGAGGCCCATTTCAGCCCTTGGGACCAAATCAGCCCCAACTAATTGGACTGTATTGGCCCTGATTTAAGGGAGCCAAATTACACCCCAAAATGGACTGTATTTTACTCACCGAAATGGCCCCACTTTTAGGGCTAAAACAGATCTTTCTGATTTACAGCGTGGATAAGGCCCAGTCACTGCTAGAGCGAGTTAAAGCTGCTGCCACAGAAGTTGCTCTTCACATAAACGGCAGCAAGACCGAATACATGGCGTATAATCTCCGATCGACGTCAGGGCGACCTTTCTGTACCCTAGACGGATCTATACAATTCAAAAAGCTGAGACAAGTACGTAGGCTCTTGGATAGATCAAACGAAAAAAGACCTCGAGATCCGTGAAGCTAAAGCATGGGCCGCTAGCAACAAACTAACAGTGGTGTGGAAATTCAACCTCAGCGGAGATATTAGGATATGTTTCTTAAGAGCTTCAGTTGAATGTAGTCTATTATACTTGTCGAAGAGTTCGGCATTGACCACTGCAGTGGAAAAACAACTTGATGGCTGCGACGCAAGGCTTCTACGTGCTGCTCTAAACGTAAGCTGGAAAGACCATATATCTAACAAGGAGTCTCAAATTTCTCCAGATACGTCGGCTGCATATTTTATATATAGTGGCCACTGTTGGAGAAGCAAGAACGAGAATGTTTGCTAACTAGTTCTTTGGGAACCAAAAGACGGCAGACGCAGTAAGGCGGCGGGGGGGGGGGGGGGGGCGAACGGGGGAAGCACCCAACAACGGGGCAGGATCTTGAATCTGCATGTCATGACCAACAGACGGAGATGGAACAGACTTATCAAATCGGTGCGGGTGCGCCAGGAATAGATAGACTGAGATAGATTAACCTTTCCTCGGTCTCCGAGGGTGACGGGTTGGCAGCAATAGCTACGAGCAGACATTCTAGCAGGCGCAAGAAGTTAATATGGGCGAAAAAACGAATCGTGTTTCCCTTGCGCCCCCCTTGAACTCCTGCACCCTTATAACTTCCATGCATCTTCTTCGCAGGCTAGCAACAAACGTCTATCAGAAAAAACAAACGGAATGATATACAGACATAGAAATACTTTTATTCAACACTGAATTGTCACTGCTACATAAAATAAAGAGCTTTAGCAACGAAGACGGCGACGGCGACGGCAACGAGAACGTAAATCAGTTTAATTGATATTTTAAACCGCGAGTAAGTCGTCCTTTTACTGGTGACGTTTTCGCGGCCGTCGCTGTCGGCGTTGCTGCTCCCTTGCCTAGTCCCTGTTCGTTTTCCAGGCCTTCTAGGCCAATTCACTACACGTCTGGGACTATGGACCACAGACTTGCGGATCAATAATCGTTTTGATTTTCGGAAATAGTAGTACTCTGTAAGTTCTACCTTGATCTTACTTGAAAGAGGTTTCCATTATAACTTTGCAGCTCTAAATTCAATTTGTGGCTAGACTCTGGGATACCTCTTATCTTGAATGGTCCTCTAGGAAAACAAGTTGCGGCTATTCCCTGACTGTTGTAGGCCGAACGCTATCATTTCATATGTAGAATGGCAAGCACCTCAATAAACCGCTCTCTAGAGCTTTCTTTACATGCATAACTAGTCTCCATGCATCATATATATCATTAATTGCAGAGTGATTTAAAAACAGTATTTCTTGGACTTTTTCTTGTGTTTAAACTGGGTTTAATTAAAATGTGCCTTGAAAATCAAATCTTAAATTCGCTAGAACTTGATGTATGCAAAGGACAACCATAAGTGAAGATCTTGAAATACCCCATTAATATACTAAAAAAAGAGTGATTTTACTCAACATTAGTGCCAAAGAGCGGCTACAACTAAACAAAAGAAAACAGTGAAATTAGGGTATGATACTGCGTTTTAGTCTACTATCTTTTTACTGGTCACGAGTAAAATAAAATTTCAAATAAAATTTCAAATTTCAAATCAACGCGAGGGTGATTTGAAATTACAAGCCCGATTATCCCTGAATGACCTGAATTATACGACACGAAGTCCTATTACTAATTAATCGTGTCAATAACAAAATTCAAGAATCTTAGTTTTGGAATATTTATTAGATCTTATTAATGTAAGTACAAAGTTTTTATTGCATCAGCTTGCAGCTAGGCTCAAAGCAAAAATATCGTACACTTGAGGAACTTTACCGTTTTCTACATTTTCACAGCTTTCTAAATCAGGCTCTCGAATTTTTAAAAAATTGTATCTGAATGACAGTCATTGGATCAGACAATTTCGTCCATTCTCTTTTCCAAGCTGCAGCTGCAGTCAGCTGCTATGTGGTTAAAAACTATTGGCTTGTAATATTTTCCTACTTGATTGTCGTTGGCTTTTTAACTGTCAGATTTGATCTGTCTGATTACAAACTCCTGGTAATCGAGCAGTTTTGGTGTTGCAATAGTAAAATTTCGAGCATTTTGTTTTTGACACGATTGCTACTCAGGTCGCAATAATTATTTTAACGAAGTGCATTAAATCCGAATTGTTGCTGTTACTGTAACTGAATTTGGCCTCTTAAAGTGCTAGTATTTTTGTTTCACTGCACCAAGATATAACCTATTCCCGTTACATTTTTGCCGCCGTTGTCTGGATTCCATTTTCCGTCAGCCGCATTGCCACAAACATTGTTGTCATCGGGACGTCCACCTGTGCCAAACCCGATTCTGGAATCACAACCAATGCAGTTGTCAAAATCGTTACTAATGATGCCAATTCTTGCCCGTGCTCGGCCGAATCCTTCTCCGTCAACATTGAATCCTTCAACGTTGCAGTTCGTCTGTAAGGAGCCCTGTGAACCAATCAACGCCTTCCACGTGTCACGACCCAGTGAGGTATAGCGGTATTGCCCATCAGCAATCAGAGAATGCAAAGAGTCCGCTTGCCTGTCGATGACAGCAAAGCGTATTACCTGGCTGATGTTCATACCTAGACAGATTTTAGAGAAGGATGTGTTCCAGTAGGAAGGCAATTTGGTCTCCTCTGCGTCAAACCCAGTCTTTCCTCCGTCAATGTTAAAGGATTGATTGTTTGTCCAAAGCACTGAATCGTAGTGAAAAGTTCTCTGAAATAGCATGAAAATGAACAGAAATAGGAAAAACTAAAATTAAGCTATAACATTGCATGACGCAACAATAGCTATTCATTGTAACTCCTGACTTCGCGTTAATTAAAATAAGTATTTGTCGAACTTATTTTATTGGTCATTAGACAGTCTCAACGAACGGAAGTCAACCCCGTTCCCAGGACAACCTTTCCACCCCGCCAGCAGTTTGTAACAAAAAGAATTATTAAAAAAGAGCGTTTTTTTTTGTTTTAAAGCGAAAAGGAGAGAAAGCAGCGAAATGACAGAAATTCTACAAAATAATGTTGCTTTTGCTTGAAGTAAATTTTCAAGCCTGATCCAACACTCTCCAATTTAACACGCTAGGTTTACGGTCAAGTCGCTCGAAGTTAAGTCCGGCCCGAAATGCTGAGTTATGTGGCTCAAAATTTTATCATCATGCTAAACAATATGGTAGAATCCCTGTTACCATTTGCCGCGTTTGTTTCTTCTGATCGAGGATTATAGAACGAGATATATTACTCATTTATCGCGCTTGTTTCGTTGTTAATCCAGGGTTGACTTGTTTCGCCTCATCGTCGCTTAAAGAACGAGTCATGTTACCCATTCATTCCGCTTATTTCGTCTCATGCTGGTTTAAAGAACGAGATATATTAACACACACTCTTTATCTAACAAAAATTAGCTTTCAAAAGGTTGAGTTTGATCGTCCGGGTGAACGTAGTCCTGAATAGGACTGTTGTTGTTGACAGTGACTGACGTTTCGACAACCTGTGCAGTAGTCATCTTCAGAGTCAAAGTGAGTTGTATCACGTCAGTTGATGGTATGTTGTTTCTCTGTTCACTTCACGCATTTCAGTCGGGCGACTTACTCTTAGGGTTTCGGGCGACATAACTTCGGGCGAGATAACATTCGCGCGACTTGACCGGTTACTGTTAACAAAGCATTGTGATTCAGGTAATGGTTTTTCGTCTACCATTCAGGGTCCAATTGGAACTTGGAAAAATTTGGATAAAAATCTCACCCACAAATTTCATATGCATACCTCTCTGCCGTTTATCTTCATGACCGGCGTCCAACCCCCTGGTCCACATCCAAAGTCACCAATTTGACAGAGAACGGAAGTTGGTGTTGAGTTAAAAAAGAGTTTAACCAGCTGGCTTCGTTGGGACCTGCACAAAAGCCAAGATGGGCACTTCGGTAAATAATTATTAAGACAGTATATAATGCAAACCAAGTGATCTAAATGATCCAGGATTAAAATATTGAATTCAACAAGAGTTAAATCTCACAGAAGACGTACTTCGTGCACCCAAGACTGTTCATTATTCTCTGTTGTTACAAACTAATACAGTGGTGGATCCAGGGGAGGGGCCCGGGGGGCCTGGCCCCCCCTTATTTTTAGACTAAACTGAGGCCCGAGCTCCCCCCTTATGTAAGGGTCTGGATGACCACCCCCCCCGCCCTATCTCAAGTTCTGGATCCGGCACTGACAATTCATGCCAAAATGGCAGAAAATTAAAAAAAAAATGACAATTTCACTCACTTGTCTGCATAATGATCATACACTTGCTTGCATGATTTCGGAGCTAAAGGAAAAAGGATATCAAATCGATTTAAAGTCACTACAATAGTATACGTTTACTCCTGGGCTTACTTCTAGGTGCCGAACTGACTGATTGCATGAGATATTTTATATATTTTACTTTAATATCTTAACTATTTGACTGCATGCTAAGCCGCTTTTAGCCCGTCAAGATTTTATAAATGCAGCGTTAGAAATAAATCCAAATCAAACGTTCTGTAAGCGAACACCCGAAATGCCAGGGAAGATTCTGTGGTTGCTTACGGCAGGCGGTCGCTTACAAGAATCAAACCGCAGGGGACTCTACTGAGAAGAGGCACGAGAACATGTTTTCTTGGAAAAGGTCAGGACTCATCTGCTTTTTGGTGGGAGTTTATTGCATGCACTTTCTTAGTTACGACTGAGTGGTAGTTCCATGTCGTTGTTAAAAGGGTTTCGTATACTTTGAGTGGCTTAGTACAAATGGTACATGCAGCGAACAAAGAGATCGACCATGACGTCAAATTGCTTGCTTATTAGAAGTTAAAAACAACGAAAAATTACAAAACGTCACCCGAAATAATTGTCGTAGGCGCTTATGAGAGGTGCTCGTTTACAAAAAGGTTCCAAACTAAAGGATTTAACTGAGAAAAGTTTGGTGTTCTAGATAGGTGATAGCCCATGGGAGGACAATTTGTCGCTGTTACATGGAGTTACGTTCGAATACATCTACATCATGGTCAAATTTCATTACATTATTACTATTGTTAAGTGCAAGTCTGTCCTTTGACAACCTTTTATGGGAAACTTACCAAATACTTCGCATAAGTCTCCGACGTAACCGTCTTTACAACCGCAGTCAAAGGTGTGATATTTGTAGTTTGGTACACATGTTCCGCCGTTACGGCACGGCGAAGAGTGACACGCAGTCTAAAACATAAAGCAAAGCAAAAACATAAACTAGAACTTAAAACAAAAAGACCGTTTAACGATATAAAGGGCAAACATTTCATGTCGCTTATATGATAAATTGTTAACGATACAATAATAATAATAATAATAATAATAATAATAATAGTAATAATAATAGTAATAATAATAATAGTAATAATAATAATAATAATAATAATAATAATAACAATAATAATAATAATAATAATAATGATTTGGAGGTAGTACATCCACAAAGTGATTCTTCGTCTACCTGATTCCTGATCGAACGGGAATTTGGAAATGCTGGTTTTTGAGGAGAGGGAAAACCGGAGTACCCGGAGAAAAAACCTCTCGGAGCAAAGGAGAGAACCAACAACAAACTCAACCCACATATGGCGTGGACCCCGGGATTTGAGCGCTCTCACCACTGCGCCATCCCTTGCTCTCCATACAGTCATAAGGTGGGTCTGTTCGGAATATCTTTAAATCAAAGGCCAGTTTAAATACCTATTAAATGTCAGAATTCCCCACCTGATCGCCATCTATATATAGTTAAATTGTGAAATCCCTTCCCTTTTATTTACCCGACGCCTATGAAAAGAAGGAATCCCTTTCGTTCGGAACCTCCCCATAAAGGCCATAAAAGGGAGAGCCCGGGCTACTTGCAGCATACAGCGAGAAATGACATGGGTTTACCGCCCCTCCCCCCAAAAAACACGCTCAGACCAGTAACTATCCTCTCCTATCCAGTGTTATATTTAGTTTCTAGTCCTCCCAAAAGAGTGTTTTGGCGATAAAAAACGATTGTTTCTACAGCCTACGAATGTGAAAAGGATTAAATAAAACTGAATCGAAAGAAGAACTGCGAAACACTCAAGTTAAGTAAGGTTGCCTGATTTTTATCACCAATCGTTTTCCATTCGTGGGCTACAGAAAGAAGACCTTTTTTTCGCCCATACAAATCTTATATTTCGAGAAAAGAGAAAAAATGAGAAAAATTAGTTTATTGACGGTGTGATGCATCTCATTCGGTTGAATCCTCTTTTAATTAACTGTGATATTTTTGTTTGCACGGAACGCCTGTGGTTTGTTTACCTTTGTAACCAACTTGAAGATAAATTGAAATGACGACCGGTACACACACCTGCGGTATCAAATTTCCTATTCATCAACTCCTCTTTCATTTTTACTTATCCAAGCAAACATAGAGACCCATTCTGATAAAGGCAGATGTTCTGCTCTAAATGGGTCTAAAGTGACCGAATCCTCTTTCAGACACAACGGGAAAAGCCATAATTTAAAAAAAACGTCAGCGGGTTTTTGGGAGAAAATCTTAGAGAGAGAACGTTGGTGAAGTTGTTTAACCAGTGTCTTTATTCGGGTTGGGGGAAGGAAAATAATAGTGGTACCTTAATGGAAAAGTGATGCGAACTTTCGTTTCTCTTGTACTCTCCAGGGTTGCTGTACTTTTCAGAAGATAGCAACTCGCACCAGAGCTTCCCGTCTGCTCCTTTTGACGCGGCCAGGTTTAAAGAAAAACAGGAGGGATTACTTAGACATTCGATGGTACAGTCCAGGGTGTCGTACACGGCGTATGTTCCAACTCTGGGTACATTCAAGTAATAGTGATCGTCTTTTACAAAAATGTCTTGGCGAAGATCTGGGTGATACAAGGTGTTAAATTCTGCGGGACAAAAAATTTTTAAAATTTAGAGGAAACGAATAAACTAAAAAATTTGTCGTACCTATCTGTTGAGTCACTATGTTGCAACAAGGTTTAGAATACTAGACACTTCCACGTATTTTTTCAACCTTTGTCTTAAATTTTCAACTTGCAAGAACTGTTTTTTTTTTTGTGCCATAACATCAACCAAAAGTGAATAATTCAAAGAAACCAGGAACTCAGACTTTATGGAATTATACCATTTTACTTCAAAAGCATTCTGTGCCTTAAATGTAAGATACACCTCAAATTTAGTGAAGTCTTTTTTGGTGCTTTTCTAACTTTTCATTATGTTTTAGCGTTTTACTGCATTGGCCGTCTTTAGACTGGTTTTAAAAACGTTTTATTTATTTTAAAACTGATTTGAATAGCACCACAAACCTTCAATTTGGGCATGTACTCCCTCAGGTGAGATTGAACACAGCAAGAACAGGAGAAAACAGCAGATAAATGTAGGATACAGCAACCATTGAAGGATAAGCAGGTAAGTGTTGAGCAAGGCGCGAAAATTTGTGATCATCGTGCTCTTGGATACAGTGTTGTGCGCTGTACCCATACTCGTAAACACTATCCGTTTCGGGGCCGCAAATAGTTTAAACCCTCCTGGTTCAAACTTTTTCCCTTAAGCTTTTCAAGAATTTTTTCTCAACTGCCAGCCAATGGCAGTTCACGAAATAATTGCTCCATCGAGAAACTTATAAATTTTGCAGACGGTGTTATTTTCAACCGCCTAATCTGCACAACCCTTCGTTTTTTCCACCTGCTTCAAGAGGCATTCTTTCGGTCAACGACCAAATTCTCTTTACCTATTTCTAAAAGTTTTCACAAGAATGTTTAGGAGAATTCGGTCAAAAGAAACAGTGCATTTTGGTAGGACTATTAGGTTTATTCATATGTAAGGTTCAACTTCTCGAAACTTCATTTAAACTTGGGAAGATATCAAGTTACCCTCGATTTGTTCTGATGTTATTTATAATTAGCTGAAAGACTCTATTTCACTTTTTCAGTCAAGTAAGTGTTTTTTGCTAAACGGACAAATATGTCAGTTATGCTAAGTGCTCAAGAGTGAAATGGAAAATACTCCAAGAGTTTAAAAGCCTTTTGACCACATAACTTTATTGAAATAAATTTTTCGAGACTGTATTTGCTAGAAACCCATGTCCAGCTGCCACCAGGAGGGGTAGATACTTTTTCATAACAAAATCTATAATTGAAATTTCATTTACATAAAAGCTATAGGTAAAACTAATTTTCCTTTAAATGGAGGGAGAGAAATTGATGTATGGCCAAGATTCTCACGCTGGTACCACGGTCAACAAATAAATGCAAAAGCTAAGCAAACTAATTCCAAGCTAATGGCGTCATTTTTGATCTTCAAATACCAATGTTATGTCTATTTACTATGATAAAAGTTTTTAAAAATGCTTTTAAAAACTTAAACTGCAGAACTGTCAGCAATTGCTCGGACGTGGACAGGGTTAAGAAAAAAGAAACTCATTAAAAAAAAATAATAATGACTACTTTATTCATCCTTCCCTTCGCAAACAGTCTATATCCCCCGATAAATATAGAGATTCTTTTATCCAGTCCTCCTACAACGTAGGCCACCTCAGCGAAGTAAAACAAATTAAAGAGATAAAAGCCTCAGACGTTAATAGACTGCAGTGGATTCTCCGAAGTCGTTAATTACGGAGCAGGGCGTCATATCTGGGAGTGGGAGGTACTTTTGGACGCCGTAATGGAGTGACGCGCATGGGTCGACCACAAACACCCCCGCAACGGTTTTTTGTTTACTTTCGTGGCGTTTAAATTCGCACACGAAGAAGAGAAAGCACGATCAAAGGTGTGTATAAAAGCAGCTGAATAAAATATACTGTATTCTTGTCTGTTGAAGTAGCTGCAAACTGGTTCATCTACGGTAAAGAAATTACCCTGCATTTCCCCAAATTACCCTGGCACATTTCCCAATTATTAATAACCTTACCACCCTCCCCCGAGAATCTCGAGGTTCTGCGATACACGTATTTCTAGTTAATAATTACTAGCGTCTGTCATTTACATAAAAAAACGTTGAAGAGTTTGACTGGAATGAGCCACAGAAGCAAGGTGTTACGTGATGCAACTGGGCACTGATCCAACGGGGGTGGGGAGGTGAGACTTATGTTAGGAGAAATAAGGGAATGCCACCCCCGTCACGGGGATACGATTTAAAGAATGTTTCTTAATTTATGGAATTTCCTCCTCCTTTGACCGCTGAATTTCGGCAATTAATGTTTTTTTTCGAGAGTCGATGCTTTATGTGATAGTTTCCATTTATTAAAATAATTCACTGGATGCTTGAATGTTTTAACAACTGTTTCAAACCCAAAGCAGAGGCGCCCAAAGCTACCATCTGCTGACGAAGTTGTCTGTAACTGCTCAAAAATGAGCATAATTCACATCCTTCCACAGGCTTTAAATCACACCGCCTAGCGGTTTAACAGAGCCATCCAAAACATGCTTACACAATTGACCTTTTACCAAGTATTTGTTGCTTCTGTCTTTTCAAACCCGTTGTTTACTTATCAGAAAGCAGAGTTTGTTCGTTTCCCAGCAAACGGGAGAAAGAGTTAAGACGCAGTCGATTCAATCGCCATTTTCCCGCGGTTTCTTATTGCTTGTTTGCTGTCAGGCGTCACACGTGATCACCTGAGTATTTGATTGACAAGCATGAGTCCACAGTTGGTTGATCACGTGCTGTTCTCATGAAGCCCACTTCTTGCTGGTGCTGTTTTCTGGGAGTCTCTGGCGTTGTTCGCATCTCTGTTAGTCTTGGGAGAAGAACTGGTGCCGCGAGTTTTCTGATAATATCGCAGTCTTTCCTAGAAACATAAGAAAAAAAAAGACACGTCAAGTTCTCAATCAAGAGTAACTCAATAATTCTTTATGCTGCTTTTTTGCCACAATTCAGTGAAAACTCTAAAGAAACTTAAACTGAGAATTTTTCTCTTAGATCACATTAAAGACGATTTCCTGTTTTGGGAAAGTCACTGTTGTTTTAAGATTTGTTTTCTTGGTTTAGGAAATCTCTCCATGCTTCTATCACCACTATTACCCCTGCCCCATCGCTCCTTGCTTAGTAAAAATTTGACAAAACTTTTCTGCAAGATGCTTGAAAACAAAAAGCAGCTTGTGAAGCACAATCAAGGAGGTTATAGCGGAGCTCTCACACGCGAAGCGCGCTTAGCGGAACACCATGGGTAAGAAAATGTGGCAATCTACCCATCCGAGAATATTTGGTAATCACGTGACCGTAAACCATCCGCCCGAGAGACCGTCCGTCCGCACCAGAGGCATACCAATGTAAAATAACTCAACCAACAGGCATGGCAACCCAAACGCAACTCGAGGTTATTTTGGCGGGAAATTGCATAGCCACCCGCGTCTTGTAAAACAGCGGCAGCTAAAGAGTCAATAAAGACGACGCGGAAAGCGGAAATTGTTTCTGTATCCGTGTTATCTAAAGTATTAAGCTTAGATTAATTGTCATTCCCACAAATTTGGAATACAGAGCAAGAGAAAGACGGAGAAAAAGAGAGAGTAGGCGGAAGGCTAGCGAAACTCAACGCCAAAAAGTGCGACAGAGATCTAGAGCGAGAGATAAAAAAACACAAGAGACATTTTTTGTTGGAAGAACAATATGAAAATTTTGTAGCGCCGGTAACAAAATGAGAAATGCCCGCGGCCACCAATGCAAGGTGAAAATGAGCGGCAGTAAAAAAAAGTGAACGAGAACACGTACAACATTTCCTCCATAAAAAAGTATCTGGAAGGTCTGCGTTGTAGTCGTGCAAAACAACGGCAAGGAAATGTACAAAAAAGTGTGCTGCGCGTGCAAAGTTATTTGGTTTGCTAATTAGACCTATTTTTGTTTTTCACCGTTCTCTGAAGTTGCCTTCGCCGCTTAGCATTACACGATTTTATATTTTGTTTGAACAAACTATAAATATTATCGAGAGCTTGACTTTTAGCCCTGGCTAAATCTATACATTATTTGAATGGTCATACCATAAGATTTCTCCGCGGACTCAAAAGTTAGAACTACATAATAAATAAATAGTACTATGTGAAATTATTGTTGAAGAGGAATTATTTGAATGGTCTCAGGATTTCACAGACTCAAAAGTTAGAACCACCTTACAAAACTCCATCATACACAAAAGCATCAATTCCATCTTCTCTTACCAGTTCCTGGTTTGCTCTGTATGTTTTTCTTTTTATATCAGTCCACTCATTCAAAAGCTTCTGCTCAACTTCCACTTCAAACTTCTGTTCATCTGAGAGGGGAGCAGCTAGCCTAAGTAAGAAGGCAGGAGTTACACGTGTAAAGCTGTACACTGTAGACCTGTTTTCCTTTTTATTCTTATTAAAGGTGGCCAATGTGTACACTGTTTTCAAGATGATAATCTTGGGAGTTTGTAAGTAAGGGAATACTCTTAGATAAATCTAATTAGTAAATTTCAGGAAAACTAATTTTTAACTTCATCCCTCAGGGCAGCCAAAATGTCACTTAATGAAAAATTTCTTAATTTTTTTCCTATGTAGTTGAGCAAATTGCACTACTAGCCTTTGGCTTACGGAGGACTTTGGAGTCGTCAATTTATCACAAGCCTAGAGAATTATCATCTTGCAACAACAGGGTTATGATCCTGTAGGTGGTTCTCACGTTACGTCATTGCCGCCATGATGGTGGACGGTAAACAAACGATCGCTCATTAGCTCGTTTTGTTTGTCTACCAGCATTTGTTCATTTCACCATTGTTATTTGTGTCTCCCGAGATTGCACGAAAACCACCTATTTACGACTTCTTTCGTTTACCATCGAGTAGAAACTAGGTTGTTGGAGTCACAAGTAGAAGTGACAAGTAGTGTTGGAGTCACAAGTAGTGTGGGAATTAACATTGTACTTGGTCTATCCTTCGTCTCCTACATCTGACCACTGTAATCTGGTTTTCACTAGAGTCAGAAGAAAGTGGAAATGTTCGGATTCCTCTGACTCCAATTCCATTGTGCTTATGACCCCACTTACAACTCCGATTTTCAGTGTTTTCACTAAGTTATAAGTAGCCTACAAATGCAGATGTATTTCTTGTCATTGCTTTTCTACACTTGAAAAGTACAACAACCAAACAAAAGGTTCTACGTCACAAATCGTTTGGCTGTTCGCATTCGCAGATGTGGAGAGAATCAACGACTGGAAATACTTCTGTGTTTGCTGGTTAAGTTATGAGCACTTTTATGGCTCTGCGTATGACTTCAGTTCCAGCTTTGTCGCTAATGAAAACCAGCTCTGAGAAAGCTTATTTGGGGTTTTTTAACAACCAACTTCAACTGCCCACAAAGCTACTGAAAAGCCAATCAATCCCCACCTAGTGAAGAATTTTTCAAACATTTGAAGCTAGTTGAGTGGTTTTCTGGTTGACTGTCGAGCTACAAAGAGCCATTTACAGGTTGACACCTCTCGGACTTCTGATCCAGATGCAAACTTTTACTGTAGCTTGCGAAGATCCGGCATGCACAGTCTTGACTTTTACATTTCGCTTCCTCTCCTCCCTCTTTTTTCCCTTTTCTTGCCTCAATTTTTTTCCTGGGCATTGAGTAGGCTTCATTTTGGTGGGAAAAGTTTTTGGGAAAGCTTTTAGGATCTTAGAGTGAGATGAAAGGAAAGATAGGCGGGTAGTGGAACAAGATTTTCATGGCAATTTTCAGGTCAATCTCACATGTTTTTTTGCCTTTTTCTCCGGTATCCTTGACTGAATTGAGCCCATTCTGGTATGGGTTTGAAAGATCTCCTCACTCTGCACACGCTAACGGACAAAGTTGTCCTTGACCAGTAAAACTGATGACGTCACAAGTGGTAGAAGGAACGTGGATCCGCACGGGCGCTTACGGGCAGTTCAGGAGTGAATGGGTTTAGGGAAGAGTTACTGTAGCATAACGCCATCTTTGGGAACAGGACATTTTCAAAAAGGTGGTAGATAACAACATTTTAAGGTACAATATACCTTGTGCAGTAAATACCTACATGACAGCCAATGGTTTGACTTTTAACATGTGACTCAATGCATTCACTGTCCATAGCTTGGGATCTTCTTTACGTAGTTCAAATACTTCCTTAATCTAACAAAAAAGAAAACACAAACAAACAAACCATGAGTGGATCCAGGGGAGGCCCCCCCCTTATTTTTAGACCAAACTGAGGCCTGAAGAGCCGAAAAAAAAAATTGAGACCACCCCCACTTATCTCAGGGTCTGGATGACTGCCCTCCCCCCTTTAACCAAAGGTCTAGATCCGCCACTGCAAACATAGTATAGCAAAGCATGACTTGTGTTGTCCATTCACAGCTTTAGTTAATTAGTTTTCAGGGTTTATTCTAGAGCGCAGCCTTGCGGGATTTCCACAATTTGAAAAAAAATGACGCATAAAATATAGGTTGCCGCGTCAAATGGGGTGCAAAAAATAGACCCAAGGATAAGTAATATTTTTTTTAAGTAAAGTATTTGAAAACATCACTGACAACAACACTGATTTGACGGCCGCTCTATAAACTTACTTTGAACTTTAAGCAATTCATTTTTTCACCAGACAAAACATCTGGGATTCTGCAGTAATTTGAGCCCAGGCTTTTTCAGTTGCCCAGAATGTTCCAAAATGGCAGCAAAGTGCCCATAAACATTCCTTTTCTCATGGAACAGTCTGTACCAATACGTTCAAATACCTTTTGGGTGACCCCCTTTCTTAAAAAAGGGCCCCCTAAAATTATAAAAGGGGGCCCATTTGACCCTCATTGGCCAATTTCTAGCATAAAACCTGCAGTTTTGATGTTCCCTACACGGTCCACTCACTAAGATTACGTCTGTCCACATATTTTTTACTGGGCCGGGTTGTTCAAGGCTGGGTTAAGATAGCCCAGGGTTAGTACGAAATTTGAATTCAGATATGAAAGCTTAAAAAGCAAAAATTCAGTTTAATTCTTTTTGTCTACAATTTGATGATTAGCTACTCCAAAAAGAATACAGAAAATTTCCGAGAAAATGCTTTTGATGAAAAGAAAAAAAAAAGAGGGTTAAAATTTAACCCTGGGTTAGCACTAGAACCAGCCTTCAAACAACTTGGCCCTGGATGACAAATAATCTCTTATGTACCTCCTCATCAGTCAGACTGTCCCTGTATCTGTCGACATGATCTCCATCCTGTTGCCACCAGTGCCTTGTATCCACTTCCTATGAACAAAAGAAGAAACACATTAACAAGGCCCTGTTAGAGTAAAATTCTGGCAAGCGAGGAGGTCTTGAAACAGCAACATATTAAGACAGATGAAAAATGGCGAAAAAGGACATGAAAATGAGTTGAAACTGTGACAGTAATGGGGAAAATCACACATACATTGTACAAAAGTAAAATAGTTACAGCAACATGGCCTCCTCTTTAGTATGCGAAACGACTCATTTTGAAATTCAATGCCTAAGAAGGCCTCAGTAATGTTTCATTGATTTACACTGGTATGAGGCTTGCATTCCTTGTTCAAGATTATAATAATAAAGTACTTTGATGTCAAACAGAGGCGCTGGAAACTAATATTAACTTGTATACATGTGCTACTTGTATTTCAAGAAAGAAGAGAATGTAATTTTTCTGCTAATCATCAGTTATTTACAATGATACGAGACCTGCATTCAAGATAAAGTACATAATTTATTCATGACTTACAGAGGTACTGGGAACTTGTATTAACTTGTTTGTGTTATCCTGGGAAACAGTCATGCCTCACCAATAAAATTTTTTTGGGCGGGGCGAGGGGAGGGGGTTATCAATAACTACATTACTTGATTCCCATCCCTACCTCCACCAACTCCCACCTCACTGTCCACCTGTCTGGAAATTAAAGGTGTTGGTTTATGCAATGTACATTGTATTTTTGATCTATGGAGACCTCAAAGATTACAGGAGAGTGATGTTACAAAAATCACTTTGGATGCTCTTTCTTATGGTTAATCAATAAATGGATCTATGTCTACTGTACCTTAGAAAATTGCAGAGGAAAAGGTTTTGCAGGATGATAACAAACAAACATGGTTTTATCTGCTGACATGGTTATCTTTGGTCTGCATGAATAAAAAATACATATGTAACATCATAACATAACACATAACATAATCCTTAGTATAAAGGATGAGTATATTATTATTGCATAAGCATCAAATCTTTCATTTTCAAGTTACAAGTAGTGAAATTGCCCAAGAAGCAAAATACTGATGCCCACATGATTGGAGCTTATCACCGTGATGGTATCAGTACTTATAACTAATATTGAAGCATCTAGGAGTACAAAGGTAAAGGTAAAGAGTCCTCCCTTTTTTACATTGGTAGCTGGAAATCGTCATTTCACTAACAAACCTGAGGCCGACAGTGCGCTCATTTTACCCCCCCTCTCCATCAGTGCTCTGTTTTATGAGTATTTAAAGCTACTTAAAGCTACAGGGAAAGGAAAGAAGTTGAAAGAAGGAGTGGGGGTTACACCTGGCAATTGAGCTTGGAACCTCCTGCAAAGAAGGCTGTGCATTAATCAACCACGCTAATCCCTCCTCCTACTTGTGCTCTTGGTCAGAGCTGTTCAAAACTTGGATGATACTTTATATTCACAGCTGAATAAATCACTATCCAGAGGATATGTGTCAAGAAATCCAATTACATTGTTCAATGGATAGTAATTTTCATCCAGTAGACAGCACGATCCACATTTTGAACAACTGGGACCTAGACAGGATGCTGGTCCACCGGGCCATTCATCCCTTTAGTACAGAGTACGTTTCCAGTGCTCAATTTTAATGTTAGAGAGACAATGAAGTCGGAGTATTAAGTCTTTTTTTCTGTCTATGTGATTACAAAAATTGAATTGGAATTGCAAGGTGTTTTACAGGTATTTTTCCAACAATGTTAAGCATACACTGTACATGTAGGCAATGGGAAGGCTAAGGTTAATCTCTGGTTTTGATTCGTCAAGTTGTTGATCTTGCTATTTCTTCTACTGCATGAGTCTTGCATGTGAAAAATATACCATCAATCAGAGATCAACAAAAGTGACAAATCCCTCTAACTTACTTGTCTATTTGGCCGTCCTCTTCTTTATACCCTGGTAATGGACCACGCCTTGTTGTAGTGTACAAGCTGAGTTCTGTGGGATCATTTGCCAAGTTGAACTCTGCATGGATCTGTTTTTCTGATTTAGCTTTCTCCATTCTAGCCAAAACTTTTTTCCGCCTTCCTGCTGCCTTAGCCCAAGCAGGAACACCAACTGTATGGGGTGTCTTCTTGAGACAAAGCTGAGATGTCGAGATGTTGCGGAGTAGAACAGCACCTGATGATAATAAAATGAAAGCTTGATGTGTGGCAGATTCAGGGGATTTTCAGACTCCCTTTTGCCCCTAAATACACCCAACAGACCAGATAATTTAGTGACTAAATGGTTATCTACTTTGAAGCTGAAATTGTTTTGTCATATACATGCAAGAAGCAACGTAGGTTAATTTACATGTATACACATACATGTAACATTATACCAGTGAGGAGCACTGAAAATGATTCCCTGTAAAATGTTTACAAAATTGAAGAAAAGGTACAACTTTGCCCCCCCCGCCCCCTGCTCCCAAATACAAATTTAATAATCCCTGGATCTGCCCTTGAATTTCTTGCAGTACTGTCACAAGACAAAGCAGTGCACGGTTATTAACGAATAGCTTTTAGTAAAATCTTTCGGTCCCCCCCTAATCGAGCATTATTTTCAGATTTTAGTTTACCAGTTAAATACCCTTGTAGAAGATGTGACCGTAAACGGGAAAACGTACCTTAACGCTTATCCGTTAGACAAGCAAAAGCGTTAGGCATCCGTTAGTCATCCGTTAGAAAGTTTTCTTAAGAACGTTAGAGGCGTTAGCCCAGCCGTTAGACGTTAGCATGAGGCCGTTAGAACGGACAGTGCAAATGCAACCGTTAGCAAGAGACATGTATCCGTTAGCCGTTAGCTCAGACCATTAGACGGGTCAGCATAACCGTTTGCAAAAACTCTGCATCCGTTAGCACGGCTAGAGAAGCCGTTAGGATCCGTTAGAATAAACTAGCATCCGTTCAACGGCCTTCATACTATAATTATACACGATCCAAAACAAACCACGTTTGCCGACAAGTAAAATCATAACAACAATCGACATTATATGAACTGTTTATTTATTCGGCAAAGTCCGGTTATTTCGAGAGCTTGTATTTTGTACTGTAATTTCTGACGAAAGGAAAGTTAAAAATATCTTATAAATGCCATAAACGGATAAAACAAACACGGGGAAAGCTCGACCAAAATGGCCATTGCGATAAATAAAAGGTCTGCGAAGTAAACACTGATCACAAAGTCATGTCAAGAACTTTGTGCTCGTTTTTCGTCACGCAACAATGGTTGTTAAAATGCTAATTTGTGGCAATTGCTACGACCTGCGAGGTGGGATCCCAAATGATCAATAATCTTCTTCCGTTCCCTTTAATCGCTATTTGCAATCATTAAAATAATTAAGTGGTCTTTGTCGTTCGAACTGAAGTAGAATAATATTATTTGGTTTCAATTCCCAAAGTGCGGACCGTTCAAAAATTTGCATAAAGTTGTTTACATCTTCCAAGATGTGAGAAACGGCCATATTCTGGCGGAAAGGTTGATGAATATTTTGATAGACTTTCGTTTAACTCTGAATCAGACGAAACTAATTTTAAACTACATGCATGTGACGAAAACAACTTTATCTGGTGAAACCAGCGCCAACACGTCGTTGCTTCGAGACTGACTTTGTGACTTCAAAAGGCAGCGCTTTTCGCATGCTCGGTCAAGATAGAAAGCGTAATCTTTCGCGAATCCACGGCTGGCCCGGGTAAAACAGTTACTTTAGAAAAACTCTTGACAGAGTCATGGTGTAAAAATAAGTACAAGCGACAAATCCATTTGAGTAAAACAATAAAAAATGTTCACCACGACTGGCGATTAAAATTGTTTACACACAGGTTTTAGCGACGTTAGGTTTGCTTCTCACACGATAATAAAGGACTCGAATTCTGAGTTTCTACGTCTCGATGAGAAAGTGAAAGTTTATATCCCTGAGTTTTGCTCTCGATTAATGCTCACCATGAAAATAATTTTTTTAATGCTTGTCTCATCGACGACTGATGAAATCGGCACTTAATTGTGACTCGTTTTTTTTTTAAAATTGCGAGTGTAAGACTAGTAATGGTTTTGCACGATCATGTGTTTATAACATCGGACTGAGCTATTCGTTTGTTAAAAGTCCTTAGATGTAAACGTAGAGCGTTAGACAACCGTTAAACGGCTCCAGTCATCCGTTAGAACAAACTGCGTAACCGTTAGAACGTTTTCTTCATCCGTTAGACATACTTAGTTAGCCGTTAGACCGTTACGAGAAAGCGTTAGAACGTTTTGATCATCCGTTAGGCACAACTAGATAACCGTTAGAACGTTAGGACAAAACGTTAGAATGCTGGGAAGGCCGTTAACAATCCGTTAGCTATCCGTCCGTTAGAGAGCATTTAACGGATAAGCGTTAAGGTACGTTTTCCCGTGCACGGTCACAGATGCAGTGTGTAAGAGGAAATAAAATAAAAATCCGGCTTCGAAGGGAATTATGAAACCGTGGAAGAATTTTAAGACAGCTAAAAAGTATACGAAATATCAAAGTACAATAGCATACCTCTCAATCCATTAGATTCCCTTGAATAGCGACAAAGATTTGACGTACATCGCGATGATTTGCAAAACATCACACCAAAACGAGCCGCCATGTTGGAAAGATAAAGGAGCGGTTACCTAGGATTTTTGAATCAACTGTGGTAGGGTAGGGAAAGGTTAGGGGACTCCGCAGGGGAAGGGTTATCGTGCATAAGGAGAATGTACTCTATGTGGGCCGGTCTTTAGCGAAAATGAGAACTTTAGTTGATGACTCACATGAATTCAAGTTAAAAGGTTAGCATCAGGGTAAAAAGCTTGGGCTAATTTTTTAAATGGTCTTTAGCTATATTTTCCTTTAATGTGGGGGCAAATATTTCCGTCACTTCCCCACTCGGGACGGTCTGTGAACAAACAAAGCGGGAATATTGTACCTGCGAAAAATTTCCGAGGAGTCATCTTAAAATTTAGAACAGTTTTCCTTCCTGATTGTGATGTTTGACATCATCAGATATACGTCTCTTTGTGATCATTCATGATGGGCCAATGTTTTGGAACCGAAGATGGAGGTCTTTTTAGTTTTAGACAAAAGCGAGGTTACGATCGCTTTACACGGTTCGCTCCGAAAAGCAGATGGTGAGAATCTCTGTAAATTGGTGTTGATTTTTAATATTACAGGTTGATCTTACATAGGCTATGTACGGCATTGTTCACTTGAAATTGAATCCTAAATACGTAGTCAAAGGTACAATAATCATTTTAAACCCTTTGCAACAGTCGTTTAAAATAGTTGTTTTATTCTGTTGCGAATACGGTATGTGTTTGGGCGAATATTTAATCCCCTGAGTCTATACGTCGTGTTGAAAAGAATTTTTGAAAGGCCTTTTATCACATCCTTTGTTTATATTAAAATAATGATGTATTAATGTCAAGTCTTAGGAAAAAAATCAGGAAAAATTAAGGCTTTGATATTTGTCTTTTACCCAAATGATGTTTTAATCTTAAATTGGTGATACAGTACACTGTATGTGTTATAAGAAATTAAGTGTTTTAAATTTAATATGATTGAGTATGCAGCAATATACTACCAACAGTCCAGCGTTACTGCTGTTAACTTATATGCTGACAACAGTTCATTGTATTGAACAGTTGTGGGGTTTGGAGACAGCCAACCGTCAATGGAACTGACTAAGTGTCAGCCAATATGTACCCTGGTCCCAAAGAAGTTTCTGGAAATTTTCTCAGTGTGAAAAAGAATGAGCACGCGAAAGCATGTGCCAAGGGTAATGACATTATTACTAATGTCATTTCTGCCAATCAGCATTACACGTCGACTTTTTGCGATGCAGATATTTGACGCAGGCTAAAGAAGAGAAAATCTTTTATTACCTTGGACTTGAACCTCACTTTCATGTACACAGCAGGGTATGGATTGGTCGATATTCTTACAAACATGCGAATAAATTTGATTGGGTTATGTAATTAGAACTGCTGGGGGACAGTGAGCATATATCTCGTTGCAGTTCTTAGGGTAATTTTTGCCTCTCTCTACAAGCAAGGGAAATTGTTTGCAAAATAGTGCATAGGGAATTGCACATGATGTATGTTTTACATACACGTTCAAGATTTGCTTGTGTTTCTGGATTCTGTTCCCAAAGGAATCTTAGAGGAAATTTTGGCTTTGCTACTTGAGGAGTGATTGTCTCAGCGTGTATTCAAAGAATTAGCCTTGCTTGCAGTCGTATGGTAAGGTTGTGTTCGCTGTACAGCCAACCAGACATATGAAGTCAATGATATTTCAGTTGCTGGCTACCATCAAAGAGTCTGTCACTTATACTAAGTGGCCATGGTGCAAAGTTCTCCTTTTCCTCACTTGATTCTACAAATCCTGTAATAGTCTTTCTGAATAATTTTGATTTCAATGGGTCTTTTACCTGGACTTTCTTTGGAGCGAACCATTCCCATAAATTACGTGCATGAGGTGTGTCAAGTGATTATAATAATATTGTAATATCACTCTTCACCACACATGGAGAAAACTTTCAAGAAAAACGTCTTGGACCAGGGTGACCGATATGTGGGCCGCTTATCGCTGGAGGATTGGTCAACTTACCAGCTGAGTCTTGGTCAGCATACATACATACATACATACATAAACTTTATTTATCCTCGGATTTTAGTGTAGCTTACATAGCTAGTATCTCCGATCCTAACTAATTTTAAAAGTTACAACATATATAATATAATATTAATTAATGTAGTATTAACTAAAACCGTGCACTAACAATTTGCGCTTAAATTCACTATAATCTACAGTCTTTCTAAAGTGATCAGGTAGAGAATTCCAGTACTTGACAGATGAATAGCTAAAGGAATTTAGACCATATGTGGTTCTAGACGGCTTAGGAAGTGATAAAATATTAGTACCCCGTAGGGAGTAAGCAGTAGATCTTAACTTGATCAGTTGTTTTAAATAGCACAGATATTTACCAAAATGGAGACAGTTGAATATACAAATCATCATATTTTGTATCCTCCTGTTGGCTAAACCACGCACACCAGCCTTGTCTACAAGAGCATCATAGTTCAAGTCCCAGTCCTTTAAAACAAATCTTAAAATACGTCTATTTAAGGGGTCCAGTTTGACAGAATCTTCTGAATTACAAAAGTTCCATATCATTGAACAGTAGTGAAAATGGGGTAAGAGAAACGCTTTATAAATGCGAAGCATAATTTCAGATGAGATAAGTTTGCCAAATCTTTTGAAGACACTGAACTGATTATTTATTTTTTTGCATACAGAGGATATGTGATCCTTGAAATTAAGTTCATTGTCTAGAGATATTCCAAAAAGATCCAGGCATCTTGTGGTTAAAAAGGAGAAAGGGTAATCGGTTTTGCCAAGAACCATCCCTTGATGTTTAGCAGGGTTTGCTTTCATCCCATTGTCTTCGAACCATTTATTTGCTATTTGTACATCATGATTGATCCACCGTTCCAAGGCCACTGGGTCTACATCAGATGAGTGCAGTTGGCAGTCATCGGCATAAGAGTTTAATTTTACAGACTTAATGTGAAAGATGAGGTCGTTGAGGAACATGTTGAAAAACATGGGCCCCAGGACGCTGCCTTGAGGCACGCCCTGCTTCACACTCATCCAATCCGAATAAGTATCACCAATTTTCACTCGCTGCCTTCTATCCGTCAAGTAGTCACCGATAAGGGCGCAGCTGGATTCGTGCAAGCCATATGCTTTCAGTTTTGCTAATAGCAAAGCATGAGGTATGGTGTCGAAAGCCTTTGACAAATCCATTGATATAACCGCCACGATCTCTTTATTGTCTAGACTGCGCCTCCAGTCCTCAGTCAGCCTAAGTAAAGATGTCTCACAGCTATGGTGCCTCCTGTAGGCAGATATGTGCATGTTGAGTATTGGCTGATATCAGGATTCTCCAGAAGAAAGATTAAAATAGTAGACGAAAAATGTTAAGAAGACAGCAACTGATTAGATAGAAAAGCATGTCTTTTCACATATGGCACAGCTGTGCCCTGACCCCTTCCTCCCATCTGGACAGGACTTTCTGTCAAGCCCTGTGTATGCCCTCAAGCACCCAAAATTTTCTTCAGAGCTGCAAGTAGAAGTTGGCCACTAGTTATCATCTGACCAAAAACTGACTGTCAAATAAATTCCTTTTTGTGCTTGGATAAAATATTCTGACTGTCCACATGACCTTAGATCTTCAGACAGTATTTTACTTTCTATGCCAGCTGTTCGATTGAAGACGTTAGGTGATAGAGCTTTTATGGTAGCAGCGCCAAGGCTCTGGAACTCTCTTCCAAAAGAACTTTGTGCGATTACTAATGTTCACGAACAGTTTTAAGGCGCATATTTAGACTTATCTTTTTGAAACTTTATATTGGTGAGCACTTTTATATTCAGTTCTTACTTGCATGCATATATATTCTTTTTATTTTATATTTTATAATGCATTATCTTTTATTTGTTTCTTGTAAAGTAATACAGTTGTAATGCGCAGCTGATCATTCTCATGTTAAGCTGCGCACAATAAGTTCATAAATTATTAATTATTATTATGATGTATGTATGTACCACAACTTTTCTTGTTTGTCCCTTGACTAGAATGGAGACCTGGTCAGACTATTTTTTGCAGGCCTTTTCTTCTTTCTTGTTTAATTGAGCCTTGACAACTGTAACAAAATTCTCAAATCTGAATTTTGGCTATCTACATTGCATCAGCTGTCCTGATTTCAGCATACATATATTAGGACAGTGTGTGTCATGCCTGAGTTATTATACAGTAAACACCAATATGGCACATGCACTTCAATGGTATTTTTCACTTCTAGCCAATTAAATGTCTCGGAATATCTTGTGTTTTAACTTTCAAAAACCTTCAATATTACAAATTTTGATTTAGTTGTGGTTAGCTCAGTTGGGAGAGCGCCAGTCTGCTGGGAGGTCGCAGTCTGCTGGGAGGTCGCGGGTTCAAACCCCGGCCGGACAAACACTCAAGGTCTTTAAATAACTGAGAAGAAAGTGCTTCCTTTGTAATGACATCTGCAAATGGTGAGACTTTCTTGTCTTCTCGGATAAGGACGAAAAACCGTAGGTCCTGTCTCACAGCACTTTCACTGATCTGTTCTTGTGGGACGTAGAAGAACCCACACAACTGTTCGAAAAGAGTAGGGGACGTAGACCCTGGTTTTGTGGCCAACCTTTACGGGTTAAGGGATTGGGTAGGGATGGCACCTTGTATGAGACCTATGAGTCCCGTTCGTGCCTATTACCTCTGGACAGGCCTGTGTCCAGAAAAGCTTGTAAAACTAATATTGGTAACAGAACTTTGTCCAATTCAGTCTGCAATCATACACGTGATTAAACAAGTTGGACTTTTGCTACATGTATGCCTGAGCCATCTGATTTTCCTAAATCAATCGACGTATAATTGATTATACTATGATTACAGGCTGAATTGGACACCATTCCATTCTGTAACCATTACTAATTTGCATTGTATTTTCTTTGTGAATTATTGATTATTATATAAACATTCTACATGACATGCACTTTTATTTCAGGAGATATGCAGATGAACACTTGTTAACTGAGATACAAGATCCACGCTCTGATGAAGAACTTGATTTATCAGGTTTGGATGCTACATGTAACTTTTGCCTCCAAAATTCAAAGTTGTCATAGCAGGCAACAAGAGGAGCCCGTAATCCTAATCTCCAGGTTGCTATTATGCATGTGCAACATATACAGCTATTTCGAGAAAGGTTGTCGGAAAAAGTGCACGTGACAAGCCCGAAAGGTATTGTCAGTGGTTTTGAATTCACTGTTCTTCAAAGAAATTTGAAAGAATGGCACGAGAGACCACAGACATATGTTTGCGGTTGCTAAAGGAAAGCAACAAACGTATGTTTGACAGCTACATTGTCAGGAACGGCGTCAATCATATCCCATATTACCTTTCAGGGTTGTTGCGTGCACATTTTTACCGACAACCTTTCTTGAAATAGCTGTATGTAGCCAGCTTCCTTTGGACTTCTGTAAAGAATGAATGGAATTCACAGAATGCAATCTGATCATGCACATTTGCACCGTTTATCACTCGTGATCTGACCATGCTTGTTTTCACCATCTACACAAATGTATCTCGTGAAACTTACACAAACCTTAGCGCTAGAGCTACCCTGCAAGCAGAGTCTCCTTCGATCTTCCTAGATAAGTCGGGGAAGATCGAAGGAGACTCTGCTCGCAGGGTACGCTAGAGCAAAATTGACCTTTGATCATTGTTGCCCCAGTCCATAACCTTCAGTTATAACTAGTTGCAACGGTTAAAAAAAGTTTCATTATTACCTTTTTTTCAGACGTTAGTCGTCCAACTGACCATCAAAGGCAAAATTTGCACCCCTCATACTCATCAAATAGCACCACAGGATTCAAACAAGAAAGGTAACATGGTTAACAGATGCTTTTTCTAGATGCATCATAGATTGTTTTCTCATGACATTATCTTGACCGTGTTGGAGCTTGGAATTTTTTCTGAGCTTTCTGGTGTTAGAATTCTCCTTCTTCCAAATTATATTGATGTACAAAACAGTGAAATGTTGGTGTACACAAAAAGTCCTGTGGGATTGAACTCTTTTCTCTTGCAGAAAATTTCTTTTGTTCCAACACATTTGCATTGCTTCAGACCACATGAGTGAAAAAAACTTATAGAAAGGTTTATTTAACAGTAATAATAGTAGTGCCAGATTAAGATCTGAGTTAAGAGAGAGGAGTGCTCTCTGGCTAGCCTGTGATCATGCCTGCCCTCAATTAGTGCAGCCATCATTGGGCCACAAAATCCTGGTTGTAATAAGAGGTGGTTTCATTAACGGGGTCTTTTAAATAATAAAATGATTTGGTGATTTTTATGTTTGGGTTGAAAGAATATGATTGTACTAGCAAAGTGGACAACAAGGTTGTCGTAAGGCAGTGTTCCACTGTATCTGATCCATTATATCTTACATGGGAAGAAGGGTATGATACATTTAATTACCCGATCACATGTAATTAAGCCAGTATCTGGGGTTATTTCTGATTGGTCCTGACAATACGTCTGATATGGTTCAGTTTTGATTGGCTGGAGATTAGGTTTGATGATACGCAGGGCTGCGGTTCTTGCGAATAGTGTTTGAATGAAACATAAAAACTGATCCCCATGATAAAAATACTCTTCCTAGCTTAATTTTTTTAATTTTTATTTTTGTGGCCGATGATAATATTGAAATTAAAATCCAGCTGATATAACCCCATCACAGAAATAAGCTTGTGCTAGTTTTTCAATTTCCTCGATTTGGTAGGGCACCTTGATAACAGGTCTACCAGTATTAATATTATTTTTTTTTCAAAGTGAGGGGCAGTGGTGGCACATGAAAAAAATGTACCAGGCATTCTTCCTCCCCCTCTCTTCTCAAAAAAAAAACAAAACAAAACAAAACAAAAAAACGTAAAGACAGACTGGAGTCAATCAAAACTCAAAAACAATATTTAAGTGCTGTTTTATTTTTTCTCTTTATCTGTGCAGCTCTACTTAGAGCAGTGCCTTTGACATGGTCATGTTTAACAAAAAAGGAACATAGTTTCCTCCTCAACATGTGAAACAACAGGTTTTCAAAATCAGACTTGGGACATACATACCCCCCACCCCGTCCCCCAAGGGGGTCCCATTAGTAGGCAATATTTTGGGATTGTTCTTTTTTTTCAAAATGAGGGTACATGTTAGTAGTAAGTCTTGAATATGGAAATATTTTCTTGATTATTCTCGTGAAGATAAAACTCATATAAAATACATGGGAAGCTTTTGCACTTGCCTGTATTTTGAAAATAGGGGTATTTGGAATGTAGAATTTGCGGGTTATTGGAGAAGCTGTAAAAAAGCATTTTATTTGAGCTTATACAGCAAAAGTATTATAGCATGCAAAGTAATTTGCATTTATTTCGATTTTTCAGACAGGAAAGATAACAAGAGTAAAGACATTTGAAAGAACAATCTTGTGATGCTAGTTAGGTTGGAGAAATTTATGATATTACACGAACAATGTATTTGAGGAAGGAAGAACCGAATGTATATGAAAATCGAATTTTTGATGTATCAAGTTGACTCAAAGGAGATTATCCTTCAATATTTGCATTGTTAGTACAATTTTCTGATACTTCACACTAGTAGTTTTTTGTAGGCATAAAACGTATTTATATAGCCCAAGAATTCATAAAAATTTATACAAATTGTAGGGCTTTAATAATATTTTTCTCTTCATTGTGCCTTGGCGTTTTGTACTTGGTTTGTGCATTTTCTACCTTTGTAAACCTGACTAGTGACCGTCATTGTCCAAGATTGGACAAATCCGATGGCAAAGAAGTACAATTTCTCTGACAATCGCTGCCGGAGTAACTGAGAATCTTGTTCATGTTAAATGCTAAACAATCCCCAGTCGTGGTAAGGTACACATCGCTCCTTGTAAGGTAATCCAAGACAGTCTTAGATTCTGAATTCCAAGCTTTGGATTCCGGATTTCCGGTACTGGGTATCCAGTCACTCTCGCCACCAAGAAGTCGACTCGCCACCAACCACCTCGCCACCAACGGTGACATACCTTATCAGTTGTTAATTTCCCGGGTCTCTAATTTCTCGTTGTGGCAGTTGTAAAAAATGGCGAAATTAAAAGCAAGCGAAATTTAATACCCAGGCCTAGCCTGCGAAAACAGCCATTTTTCCTCGCTCTTCGCCGCTGGGAACGTTTCACGAAACGTCCTCAGCGGCGAAGAATGAGGAGAAACGGCCGTTTTCGCAGGCTAACCCAGGCCATATAGAAAATTCAAATAACAATTGACATGTAATAGCATCGATATTTTACTGGTGTATAAGCTCCCTTTTGTATCTTACGAAATGTGAAATGTCTCGATGGTTTTGGTCGTCAACAGTTACCGGCACCGTACAAACTACTTATTGACGGAACCAAAACCTTCTACGAGAAAACGACTGGACGACTGACAATTTGACTAACAATAAACGACTGTTTAACTATGACAATAGACGGATCAGAACGCACCAATGACGTTACGAGTCTTCATAGCCAATAACATCGCGACTTAATTGACCAATCAGATCAATAACCAGAGTTTAATACCATCAACTGACGTGATACAACTCACTTTGACTCTGAAGATGACTACCGCCCAGGTTGTCGAAACGTCAGTCACTGTCAACAGCAACAGTCCTATTCAGGACTACGCTCATCCGGACGATCATACTCAACCTACTTATGAAATGTGTATAGAGTTTACGATGATGATGATGTTGATGACCTGCGTCGTCGCTGCCGCTGCCGCTGCCGCCGTGACTGGTAATGAAAGTCTCTCAAAGCAATTGCATAAGAGACCACTGGCCATACTGCTGATGCTATTGTAGCGGTTCTTCGATCCAGAGTCCCCCAATATGTTATCGCTGCGAATACAAAGCAGAGTGATAAATGGGAGTTCATTCCTACGGTTTTCGGCTGTTGTAGTGCAACGCAGCAGGTTTCTGCAAGCTCATAACATTGTTTGTGTGTATGAGTTTATTATCATAATTACTCTAACCTGCAGAATGGCAACTAAGTTGGTCAAAGTGTGATTTGTAGCTGCGATATATTTGTAAATTTGCTATTGCATTATTTTAGTCAGACAGTATTGACAAATAAAAGAAAAAAACATTAAAAAAAAAATTAAAGACAAAGGAAAGAAAGGAAACAAAGAAAAAAAAGGTTCTGATTTTGTCAAAATGTTTAGAAAGCATTGCAATTGCCCAGGGCTCAGCCCAAAGACGTTTTGAGGAAGAAAGAAATACGTGATAGGTAACAAGGGATATCTTAAATTAACTTATAGAACAATTGGACTGTTCTGTAAATCAGGGAATACGGACTTTATTTCGGGGAACATTACTGGGAACGTTTCCGGGAACAACGGAGAAAACAAATAAATTTTGGGGTATACCCACCGCGTACATCTGCCAGCTTAACACCGGGTGGTGTATGTGAAAAAACCCGGCTTCAGACTTCATAAACCTCAACGACATATTTTCTTTTGTCCTCTTTTGATTTGACTGTATTGTCGGTTTTACAGCACGTTTACAAACGGGAAAGAGAACCATAGAATTTAGTTAGGAGCTGTAGGTTACGAAATAAACGACTTGGACTTATGTGTTTCGTATTGAGATTGTTAAGGAAGGGCAGTTTTCTTGTTAGCCTGAATTTCAGACGATTACTTGGAGCCGTTTTTACTCCCTTAGTAACTGCTGTCTGCATGGTTGGATATGTCGATATATTAAGCCGTTTGAGCTGGAACACTAGAAATTTTAAAAATATAAAGAAAATAAACGTAGATCGACGTAGAGCTGGAAACAAGAGAAGGATTTTTTTTGGAAACAAGAGAAGGATTTTTTTTTGGGAAACAAGAGAAGGATCTTACCTTTATGGACAAAACCTCCCAAAATTAGTCCAATAAAACAGCCATTGTTGAACCAGAACAAGGCGAACTGTTTCAATTCTTTATCAGGTTGCTCACAAATTTGCTTCAAGCCAATGAATGTTCCGAAGCCCAACACGCAAACCCCCGCGATACGTCCGTCACGTTGCGGGATTAACGCGATACCGGACAGGTCAGCTAGAGACATAGCTAATGTGCTGTATATTTCTACCGACTTCATATGCTTCAAGAACCAGCGTATCGCTATCTGCCGAACCACGGTAGGTGCAGCAAGCGCCACAATATCAGTTGTCGTCGTCTTTCCTGTTTTTGCTGATGCATACTCAACAGCAATACAGAAAGTCAGGGTTGGAGCCGTGAGACAGACCCCCAGTATAAAAAAGACCATTGAAAAATTAGGTGTTGTTTCTCGGATTCGCTCACCTCGTTTCCAGATCTCTTTGTAGCTTGTTTCACTTGCTGTGTCTGAAACAGAACTGCTCAATTCTTCTTCGCTTGTTGTCACTTTTGGCATAATTTCCGAGTCCGTTGCCATAGTCGGTCTACCGCTTTTGCCAGTTTGTTCAGTTAGCTCCGAATATCTTTAGCTCACTTTCTTTAGGTAACTATGCCAGAATATTAATATTCTTTGGCCAGGTTAAACCGGGTTGTCGTGTGCTTTTTCTTTGCATTTCTAGCCCTCAAATGTGGTTTTATCACTCGCTGATATTTGTTAATGTTATGTGCTCAAGAGAGCTGAAATTATTGCTGGTCAGTGACGCTTGAGGTTTTTGTTTTCATTTACTCGCCTGATTAATGACCATACCTAAAGTCTGTTGCCTCAATAACATAACCTTTGATCAAGCGGTTTTCTTGACTATTATACACATGTGGTGGATGGGCGGGGAAACAAGAAAAACGCAAAAGCCGACAGTTTCTTTATACTTTATTCAATAGTCCAACAGTGACGCACTAGGCTATCACCACTAATATTCTGAAGAGCAACAATGTATTCAAATTGAGGGGGTCGGAAAACTTGTAAAGCAAAATGCGGTACTTTATTCTTATATTTATTTCAGTTTTACTCGTACTGGTCATAGAATAAGGGCAGTTTTCCCATCGGAATTAAATCTGTTTCCATATTCCCAAAATGACGAATCCATGCTTCGGGTAAGGCAGTCAGATTTATTGCCGAAGTGGTGCAAGCAATGTTCTTTTAAAGTCTTCTCTACGTGAATTCCGAGTAATCCTGCTGTCAGAATGCCAGCGGTTTCTAGTATTGACGTCAGAGTGATACTGAATATCACGTGATGCGAGATGAACCTTCGTGCGATGATGTGATACGAGTTGGAGAAAATCATTCCACAAGCCGTACCCAGGATAAAGCACAACAACCAAATGACCCATACTTGGGAAACGAGTTGATACCAGGTTGCCAGTGTAAGAAAGATCGTCTCAGCAAGAGGTAAAAGTGCCAGGACTGGGCCTGAATTAAAGAAGAATCCAGGAGAGACAGCGCGGAGCATGGAAATGAATGTTCGTCCCAGGAACTCGCCTACCATGGTGCTCAGGACGTAGTGTTCAAAATGTCCCCGGGGAACAAATTCCGGACCCACCCCTGCGCCCTCAAAGATAAGTGTGGAAAGAATCGCTGAGAGAATAATATACTCGCTAAAATAAACTAAGAACAACATTAGCATATGATGAGATGAGTTCCACACGGTTCTAAGTCGCTCTTTCCAGCGTGGCGATAAGCGACAGTCTATTTCAAACTTGCGTTGTTGTATCTTAGGAAAGGATTCGGCAGTTTGGGAGTAGCGGAAGAGATGAAGATTTCCCCGCGACGCAACGAATGTAAAGAGAAATATTGGCGGCCATATTGCGGATACTATAATGGCGGTTCTTGGATCCACAGTCGCCCAGACTGTTAACCCTGTGAAAATTAAACAGATTCACCAATGAGAATTGATTCTATATCTTGCCAAATCAGCAATAAAAAGTGAGCTTACGCAACAGGACGGGAGAGGAAAGAAGACGGCGAAAGTGTGACAAGCGTGACAATAATTTTGCTTCAAAAACTTTTCCGCCGAACTTCATCCTTCTTTAAACGGGTCTTTTTGTAAAAGACCAGAAAGCATTAATGTAAGTGAAGATCACGACAAAACACGCAAGTAATAGCCCTGTCGCGTTTGTCACACACGAGCGTTTTGCCGTTCTCTTCTTCCTGCCGTCCTGTTACGTAAACTCACTTCTTGGACGGTTTAGTGTGCACTTGTAGTATCGTTAGATATTTTTAAGAGTCACGCTGTATTTTGGCCAGCCTTTAGGGCGAGTCAAAATACAAGACACGAGTAGTGACAAGGAATAAGTTTACAACCATTAAGTGTTAAGAGAAAATTTGGCAACTATAAAGCAATCAAGCGAAGTGGAATGAGTCTACATTGAACGCTTTTAAGTTTTGTTTTAAAAAATTCTTCCTTTGAGCGCACGGCTTTTCCCGCCTTTTTTTCCCGCGCTGGGCGAAAGCTGCATTTGATACGACTTCTGATTGATTTATCAGTCTATTAAACGAATTCTGATTGGTAAATAAGTCTCTTTAGCGACTGTTTACCCGAATGCCGACTTTCATTTTCTTCAGGAGAAGTAAAAACACTTTGTACACGCTAACGACGCAACAAGAATCTCATTCTAGGTGGAGTTTACGTTAGCTAACAGGTGGAAGAGTTTAGTCTTTTTGAGGTCTGCTCTTCGCTCTTTTCTTCGTGTCTTTGTAGCTTTGGCTATAGACATATTGTGTGCGAGTTCTCATTTTAAGAAGAATTTTACTCCTCCGGAATGTGCCTGAGAAAAGAATTCGAAACTAAGAGTAGAAGGTAAGAATATTTTTTCCTGTTTTGTATGGCACCACTTCAGTGTCTTGTCTGTTTATTGTAATTTATCACAATGATCATATAGTATAATAATAATAATAACATATGATAAGATATGATAAGTATGTTTAGGTACATAATAATCATATATGAAGTACCTACCCAGGCTCTATTACCAGCTGCTGTTCAGGAAATGAGCCCGCGCTCCTTTCCCAGAAGCTGAAGCCGAGCTTATTAGTTCGGTACTTCGATAGACGACGTTTGTTTAGTTAATATCTTCTTCATAACTTTAGTTTACAGGAGCATTTCGAGTATGGCTTAAGGCACTACGTAGTGACTTAAGCACAGAATTGGCCTCAAACAACAATATCCTCGACATACCGTGTGGCACGAATTTTTTGCGGGTTCTTATTTTTGCAATTTTTGCGGTTTTTCCAGCGATCCGCAAAAATAAGTTCCTGCAAATAAAAATTACCGCAAAAATTTACTCCAGAGTAAATACTCTAACTTAAGTTCGCTACGTAAAATTACAGTGCTAAGAAATCGCGTCTGTTCAATCACAACTTGTCTCTCATTCAGAAACAACGAAATACTGGTTTATTGCTTGAAAATATGTATTTCTGTTGCATGTACTCAATAATAACGGAAGTATTATCAATGCTGGCCAGTACTGGGTACTTTCTGAAAATCGCAAAAATTAATTTCCTCCAACAAAAACCAATCTGTACTAATCGCAAAAATTAGTTCCCGAAAAACACAAAAAATCGTTAATCTCGCAAAAATAAACTCCCGCAAAAATTTCGTGCCACACGATATAGGCCATTTACATGCCTTGCAAATCTTGCTTTATGATTGGCTGACGTACTCACGTAGAGAAAAATCGGGCTTTTCGCGGTAAGTTCTTTGTTGGGATTCACCAGAAAGTTTACTTATGTTGCAGTAGAGTGCTAACATAGTTTTACTAGAACAATTAGAAGGTCCATTTCGATTTCTATGCAGCATTTACACTTGTTCCGGGGTTTGGCCGCTTGTCAACAACCCGGCGATAGAAATAGATGTATGATTTACTTCATATACATCTATCAGAAATAGACTAGTGTTAATAAATAAATAAATAAATGAATTAAGAAATAAGTAAATAAAAATAAAAAAGAGTAATAAAAACGAACAATTGCTGAGCTTATCCAAAATTTGAAATAGTTAAGTTTGTAAGTTTTGCACTTAATGGCATAATAATCGGCAAAAATCTCACGGTGCTTTGACGTCTTTATACTTTCTTCTGTTATTAATATCACAACTCGAGTCCCTTTATTTGGCTGTATTGTTGGTTTAACGGTTCACTTACAAACAGGAAAAAATATAAATTCATGCCAGAGGAGACAAAATATCTGTTTGTTGAAAGAAACCGCATCGCGGACTTAATATTGAGTTTTAGGCCTCTAAAAGACTCCCAAATGCAGATTTTAAGCAACTTACAAAGTTTTCAAAATTTAGCGCTGGATGAAAGCCTGAAATATGCATATTAAAAAATTAACAAAATTTTATCTGACTTAGTTGTATTTTATTAAGTTCAGTGGTGAGGTCTTCTCACAACTCACTGTAAGAAATGTTGGTGTAAAATAAAATAGATAAAATAAAATGTTGCCAAGTCTAATCAATAGCTATTAAAAAGATAAAAGTTAAAAGGAAGATAACAACGAGAGATTTGTTGATTTAGTTATGTACCTTTGTCCACTAAGTATAGAACCCATGGAGGAGTAAGTTAAATACAGTATTCATGCAGTTTTTTCGAATTCAGCATAGCTAGTTGAAGATTGAGAACTTTACAAAAGGTGGGAGTATTATTGTAAGATTAAAATAAGATAATAAGGGAAAGAACAGAAATAATTTTTTTTTCTGGACATATCTTACCTACATACAAACTAGCGCCCAAAACTCCTCCAACTCCAGTTCCGATTATGAACGAGCACAAGGCAACTTCTTCCAATTTTTTAGCGGCTTGCATAAATAAGCTGACTTCACCAATTCCCGTTCCCACAGAAACCAGGCAAATCCCAGCAAAACGTCCTCCAATGTGTGTGATAAAAACCGCACACAACTGGCCCACAATAATAAAAGCTGACACGAGAAACATTCGGGCTACATGGGACACCTCTCTGAAACAGAGCGACGCAATCTTTAATACAAGAGAGGGCGCTGTTAGCGCTATTATGACAAGTCCGGTCGCGTTATCTGTTCCTGCTAATACATCTTCAGCAGCAGAAACGAAAGTGATGAACGGTGCTGTCAGAGAAACCCCGAGGATAAAAAAAACCATTGAACAGTTAGGTGTCGTTTCTCGAGATCGTTCATTCCTCTCGTTAGCAGTCCAGATTTCTGGGTGGCTTGTTTCACTCTCTGTGTCCGAAATAGAACTGCTGAATTCCTCTTCGCTAGTTGGTACTTCTGTCATCATTTTGTCTCCCTAGGTGTAAATTGACAGCCGGCAAGCTGTCTGCTTATTGTTGTTTAACACCCTTGTTTAACACTGGTTTGTTCACTTCAGTTGACCATCTCAGCGAAATTAGAAACTGTCCTCAGCGCTCGGTTATTTTGTTTGCGTGTTGGGCAAAAATTTGCATGTAGACAATGCTCGCTGATATTTGTAAATGTGGTATGCTCAAGAGATTTGAAACTATTGATATGAAGTGGTGCGTAACCTAACGGTTACAACATCAGAAAAATAATCAATTTTCAAGTATATTCTAACAGCTTCTAACGTCTACGAGGAAATAATAGTTAAAATATTTCTTTGCATTGTAGAGCGATGATAAAGATACAAAGTTATCCAGCCCAGTGTTACCGTAATTTAAATGTTTTAGCCTTTGAGAAAGTAAGATTTGTTCAAATTGGCTACCAGTTGGAACTTTAAACGTTGTGCTCTAGAGAATTTATAATTAACATAATTAACGGTCTCGCCTCGTTGTGATGTTGCGCTAACAAACACTTAGCCAGGAGTTCGTGGTTCGATTTTAGGGAGCTTAAGGCTGTGTTCACACACTACCGAATAGCTTTTGGCCAGCATGAAAACCGTACTGGATAGGACTTCAGTTCACACAAGAGCAGTGATTTCGACGAGGTTTCTGTCACGGAGCGAAGCTGCGTCGCGCCCATCTTGAAATTAGAGCAGCGTCACGTACAGTAAAAACCCACATAAAAGAACAAGTGGATCAAGAACACTCAGGCCGATATTTGGTCAAAAAAGTACCATATAGATATTAAGAACTCATTTAGCCTGAAAAATGAAAATTGTTCGTACTATAAAAAAAAATTGGCTGCCAGTTTGATTAGAATAACCTACTAGGGTACAGTACTAAGTAGATCAATGTACATTGAATGAGGGACGGGGAGCTGGTGCATTTTGAATTTGCTTGACTTTTGCTAACTTTCGAGTTGTTTATCACTAGAACTGCTACCCCTCCCTCAGGTATTCGGACCATAACAGAGGTGAATAACTAGGAAAAAGAACTGGGGCGTTTTCCATTTACCAAAAACTTTCGGAAACTTCCATGGAAAGGTCTATCGAGTGAAGATCGTGTTCATATTGACACAAGTTCCATTCGTTTATGCTCTCGTCACCAAAATTCAAGATGGTGTGGCACAGATATCGTCGTGAATAGCGTGGAACTGGTTATTCCTTCTGAAAACTCGTAAATGGAACATGCTTGGAAAATTTCCAACTGGAAAACAGGACTACCTTTGACTACCTCCACAGAGACGGGAGTTGATATTGAGGAGCGTAGACTGGGATCTAGTTCACCAGACCCTCTCCGGCAACATTCAGTTTTATGTGTGCGAACGGCTTGTTCCAATTCTGTACCGTTGGCCGGGGGATACTCCCTTTAATGGGGACGTGCGGCCAGCCAGGATATAATTTTCGGGATTTTTGTCTTAAACAGGGTATCGATTTTCAATTATCATTTTTTGTCTTAATCAGGGTATCGATTTTATCAATTTTTGTCTTAAACAGGGTATCTTTTTCTTGGACGATAAACAGCCTGCGCGTATGTTCTACGAACTACACTACAGCAAAAGTTTTATTTATTATTGTCTTACACAGGGTATGGTTTCGGGTTAAATGTCTTAAACAGGGTATCAAAAATCGGAATTCTGTCTTAAACAGGGTAGGAAAATCAGTGATTTTTGTCTTAAACAGGGTCAGGGTATGAGGGGCCGGGTCGCACCTCCCCACCCAAGGATATATCGAGTATCCCCCCGGGGCCGTTGGTGTTCATACTATACCGGATAACTTTTCGTGTCGGCACGAAATTCAAATCAGATAGGGCCTCTGTTCATACAAAAGAATAGTGATTTCGACGCGATTTCTATAACGGAGCGAAGCTGCGTCCCGCCGATCTCTTAAGTGGAGTGTCACACTGATCGGACAGTTATTTACAGATTTTCGTGTCGGAACGAAAAGGTATCCGTCACAGTGTGAAGATAGCCTTATTCTCAAGTGTTATAAACAAAACACAAATTTTGTGAAACTCAACCATGCACTATCTAGCCTTTTTCGTTTGTTTGTGTATCTTTTTTTTCATTTAAAGTCAAAAATATTCTGCGTGTCTCGATCCGATTCACTAGTTTTCTTTTCGCCCATAAAAGTATGTCAGTTTTGTGCGTAGTCAGTGGCGGATCTAGGGGAGGGGCCCGGGGGTGGGGGGCCTTATTTTTAGACAAACTGAGGTCCGAGGGGCCGAAAAAATTTTTTTTGGAGACTGCCCCCCCTTATGTAAGGATCTGGATGACCGCCCCCCCTTATCTCAAGGTCTGCATCCGGCACTGGTAGTAGGGGGAATGTTATTCCTACCACCGTGGTTTTTTCGTTATAAAGGGGTTGGTTATACGAGGACTGAGTCTCATTGTACATTATTTTTGACTCTCTGTTCTTTTTTAAGAGAGGCAGTTGCGAGGAATGGCATATGATATATAGACTGCGAGCAGTCTCTCCTTTCCTTCAGATTTGGTAAGGGGAGTGCACGCGCGAACGTTGAGCGGCGAAGCTGCGAGACGCGAGACGCGAGACGCGAGACGCGAGAAACGAGGGCGGCAGCCTCTCCCGTCTCGCACCTTCAGTCACGCGCGTGGTCATTTGCGTGTCTCGGGCGTTTTGCTTGACGGACCAAGAAAAAAGAGAGACTGCTCGTAGTCTATATGATACATCAATCTTAACGCTGACGAAAACAAATAGAGAATAATATATGGGCGCGCAGAGATATGGAATTTATCTTCGACTGTCAAATCGATATCTCAAGAGTTCACTGTCTTCAGTCGATTTGAACACAAGAAGATAAATTCCATATCCTGTTCTATCTCCAAGCGTCCATGTACTGTTCTCTTTATTACATAAACAAATATGTCATGTATTTTGCAAAACAATTTTATTTATTTTATTTAGCAAACAACAACAACAAAAACTATATTTAGCCCTTTTTGGTTCGTCTTGTGTTTGAATTTTCACTGAGCAAACGTGCTTACAGTGAATGTAAAGTGACAAACCGCAACTTTAAAGGCGGGTGTTTTATAATTTTCAAAAAGACAAGAAGGTCACTGACTGGCTGTATTAACACACGTAAGATTATCGAATATCGTATTTTTAACGTGTAATTGGCACCAGAGAAAATTGGGAATTTGAGGTTAGTGTAATTGATCTTTTTTCTTTTTTTAAGATTTAACCGACCTGACGTAGAAACCTTTTCTTTTTCATTTTATAACTGTTACGTCCCAAAATGCGTAAGAAGGTAGAATCTGTACACAATAGTCTAATAGTAAGAAAAGATTTAAGTGAATTTAGATTAAGATTTGGAGATAAGGGTTCCTCACCTTTTCATTTTCAATAATCCGCTCTAATTTTCTTGGTGATCGAAGGAAAGGTTGAATGACAATGAAGAGAAATAAATCCACCCAAGTAGTCATGGAGTTGCGATTATAGGCTGCTTTGAAAACGAACTTGAAAAAAATTCGTTTTAAGCTACCGTATTTTCAATCTGTCGGTTGATCGAGCCTGTAGTTAATTCTCATCTACGTAAAAAATACTTTGAATAATTCATATAAGGGGCGAGATGAACAATAACTATTAATTCTGCTTTATAATGTTAAAGATAAAACTAGAATAAACAAAAGATTAGGCACATCAGATACGGATAGTCGCTTGTCACGTATTCCAGATTAGACGGTTGAGCTGTATCCCCTAAATCAGAGAGAAAGTCGAGAAAACTAATGGTAAGTAAGAAATCAGAAATAGCCCTTTTTGAAGTGACGGGTTCTTACGAGGATTAGAATCGTTTTTTTGGTCGTAATCCAATAACGTTAGTAAATCATTTCTTGTATGCGAACATATAAACTATAATTTTTTTTTGTACTGATTTAAGTTAACACCTATCATTTGGTAGAAACATGGATCGAAAAATGATTTTCACCTTTCGTCAAAGTTAGTGGTTATCAAGAAATCGTCACCGGAGTTTTACACACGAAACGATCGTCAAAAATTAAGAGCAATGGTAGTATAAGGGACTTTAAGATAACTAAAATAGCGGTTGCTTTAAATATCGACAGTAGAAAATGATTTCTACTTTGGCCAGTGAGTTTTCAGTCTGTTTCAATGCTCCGCTGGGATGAATTATTGAAACAAGAGATACTGAAATTGAAATTAGGCTCGTCTGTCTATTTCCCCAGAACTAAAGGTATTACTTTGTATACTTTTAGATAATTGGCTTCGAAATGTCAAACACACCGCCTTTTCGATGTATTCGTGAAGTAAACATAAACCAAAGAGAAGATAAAGAAAGGCACTGACTGATTTGACTAAGATCTATAGTGTCGGCTGCATATTAGCGTAACATAATGTGTAGGCGCGGATAAATGACCTTAAAACAAAGCATAACTTTTAATCTACGATGTTTACCTGCATGCAATAGCCACCGTTAAATTTCGTTAAAAATATCAGTCTTAAAAAGTAAATGATTTAGACTTGAATTTCAGGTGCGTTTGTGACTATCAGTTATATTTTTCAGTTCCACGGAAACATCCAATCTTTTCCATGGTACATTTCTCGTCGTATTTGTGACGTTAATAATTTATTGTAAACCCGCACTGAAAATTTGCTGGACAAATATTATACATTTTTGATTCAGCTTTATTATATCTGCCATTAAATAACATTTCTCCCTTGATATGCCAGTCACAGTAAAATTTTAACAAACTAAATGAAAGAAAAAGTTGATCTTTTGTTTCTTGTATAATCTGCGTTATTCATGGTTACATTTTCTGTATTCTCGATTCGTCATATTTGTGAATTTTCCTGGTTCTATTATGAAAAAAAAAATGCGTGTGAAATGGGAATAATACAGTATCTCGAATTATAATTACTTTTCTTGTTACGAAATGAATATAATCACACGCAATGAATATGTATATGTAAAATAATAACGTTCGTAGCTGACCCTTGGAAATGCTGTCGGGCTATCGAAAGACCTCTACGGGCAAGACTCCTTTCATTAAATGGAATATACATAAA